TAATTGTTGAATCTTCACAAAGAATTTCAACAATATAATCAGCAATTGTACCAGCTCGATCATATTTTATTAATTCATCTTCTTTTCCTTTTTGTTCATTAATTAACCATAATAAAGTAGCTAAGCCATAACCAGTTCGTAGATGTGTTAAAGATGATCCAAGTGTTGAAAGAAATTCTGTTGAACATCGTTGATCTTGCCATGTAATAAGTGAAGATACAATTGTACGTGGTGATTTTGATGACCAAAGAATAAAACCATGCATTTGACCACAAATTTGAATTGATTTAATTAATGAATCATTATTAAGACTACCGGATTTTTCTAGAAGTTTATCGACAGTTTCAAGAATTTTTGATGGATATTGTTCATCAAATGAAGTAAATTCTTTTTGAATAATATGAGCATTATGAGCAAGTTGTTCAGTAAAAATAATACGATTGTTTTCATTTGATGATGATGATGATGATGATGAGACAATACAAATTTTACATGATGTCGTACCAATATCTATACCGAGAGAATACATCTATAACACATAACAAAAAAAAAAGCATAAGAAAAATAACAAGTTTTCATTAGAAAAAAAGAAACGAACGACATCATGTGGTAAAAACAATGAGAATTAGAAGAAGGTATTCGAGGTATGTTATTTTTCTTTTGATATTAGTTAACAAAAAAAGCAGAGATATCGGAGGATTCTCTTTCCAGGACTCAATTTTCACCTGTAACTTTGTTTTAAACATTTCAAGATATGATTTAGAATACGGTGACCTATTTCAGTTTCATATTCTTTATTATTAAGTTGAAAAACTATTATGATTATTAGAAGGTTTTATGAAATAATTTATTGATTTGAAGAGAATTAACTTTATTTGATAGTAAATCTGAAATATAGACAATAATAGGAAATGAAAAACTGTTATATTTGAATCTGGTTTAGGAATATAAAAAAAGATCTCTGTATCCACAAGTAGCAACAGATCTTGACTGGTTAAAACGAAACATCAACTCAATGAAAAGTCTAAGAGATGTCACTGTTTGTTTGGAGTACATGATTATTTGACATCAACTCGACTGCTTTCGACATGTATTTGAAAGTAAGAGTAAGAGAAAAGGAAATCTATAGATCTACTTATTACAAATTTGATGAAGGAAAACCTTTTTTTATCTAATTTAGTATTCTTTACGATAAGAGATGTAAACTGATCAGTTTGGTTATCGCCGACGTCGTTGGTTGCTATAAAATTTTAATGACATTTCAGTCGCCATTGTTGGGAGAGAAGAATAGATACTGGATTTTTCAAACCCTTTCGACCACTAATATTCTTTTTCGGAGATATTCTTATTTAATTTCTTATCGGTATGTTATCTACCATTTTTTTTATTTCAAAATGCGAAAAAGAAATTCCAGTCGCTGATTCATTCATTGATTTCCACTACTTGCTGATGAATTCTATATTGCTTGTTACCAAACCGGTTCTTATTTAGTAAAAAAGACATGATAGTCAAATCCGGAAGACGTGAAAACTTACTTAAAAGCAAAGAAATTCTATAAAAAGATTAAAAAGTTGACTATTTAATTGACAGAAAAGAACAACTCTACAATGACTGAAATCAACCAACCTGTTGTCAGTAAGAAGGAAACAACTGTAATAATATTTCTGTTAAATAAATAAACTTGATAAGACGTATAATCGGATACATTAATCGGCAATGACAGTGGGATATGTTTAACATCCTTTTTTTAGCTTTCGGTGCAAACGATTAGAAATATCTGATGCTGCAGTAACGGTGGTTGGAAGTCTGCAATGCTTTCTTAAAAGATTTTCTTAATTTAGAGATACTTTGAATCGAAAAAGAGAGAAAATAATAATAAATCAGGCAAGAACATTCCTGAAAACTGATCATAGAAGCCGAAAATTTTCAGCAATTATTTATGATGACGACTAGAACGTTGGCGGTGGATAAGCCGAATGGCTTATAGCTGTAAATTTGATAGATCATATAAGATAAAATAAGATAAGTAAAAGATACAGTTAGTATAAATATTGTAGAGCTGGTATTGACCGTCGAACGAGATGACAACTATTCTAAAAAAAAAAGATTAAATGCAAAACCCTGATTAAAATTGTTGAAAGATCAATCATAATAAGATAGTAGAAAAAATATAGTAAATTTTTAATATTACATTATTATTTACCTATCCTGATATTTGATCAATGTCATGAAAACTAAATATTAGAATACTAAATGCTCTTACTAAACAAATATTGTCAAGGATAAAGCATTTAACAAATTTGACTGTACTCATTTGTTGCAAATTAAATCAATCCGTTGCTAAAAGATATTGATCAAAAGCAGCAAAACATATTGTTGAAGAATAAAATTGCTCTATTGTTGTTCTTATTTTATACTAAGAAGATGAATTTATTAATACATTAATATCAAATCCAGTATAAAGAAGACATATATGAATATTCTTCGACGAGTATTTCACATGAATTGCATGATAATCAAATCAACCAGTGAATAGAATTCACCTATTTTATTTCAACATGATCGTAATTAAGTAAAAAAAAAAAGAGTATCGAAATGATTACCAATGATTTCACAGCTCACAACAACAAAGACTACCATAGAAAAAATAAAATCATATGTAAAAAGATCACGGATCTCTTATAATATTAAAAACAATAAAAGAATTTTATAGTTAGAATATGGCCGATTAGTATAGTTTAATGAAAATCTAGAATACTTGTAAATTTATATTTATACAAAACATTGCCATAAATTATTTGAAATGGAATTTATCAAGAATATGAATATTCATTTAACGTCGTTGTCTATATTCGATGTCAATAAATTTCATATGTTTGTATTACAGCATTTAGTATATTTTCATTTTTATATAGCGCTGAAGTTAATCAATAAAAGTTATTGTGAATGTGAATAAATCGAAAATTATCGATATTTCAAAGCACCATGGAAGGATATGATGAAAACAGTGGAAGATGATATAACGCTAATGTAATAGAACAATTAGATAAGGTTCTTTTATTGTTACAAATCAATGGATATTCTATTGTTGAAATAAGACGCTAAAGGATGATATTGGATTTTATCAATTTTTCATTGCTTGTAAAATTTCATTTAAGAAAATTTTAGTTTGTTTATGATTTTATTATACTCCTAACATGAACTTACTTATTGTCGTCTACAGATTTTTATGTTTGAAAAATCGATGTGCTAGAATAATCGTAATAATAATTTTCCTACTCAAATCTTATAGAACACAGTCTAGCATAAATTACCTATGTCAGTCATTTATGATATTATGAAGTATATATAGAAGAAAAGGCCATGATCTTCTATTGTGAAAATTCATATCGCTTCTTCAAAAGTAACCTTCTTTTGCTAGTTAGCGTTTTGCTAGCTTTTATCTATAAAACTAAGAGCTTTGGGAAAACTCTACTGATACTCAAACAGACTTTTTTTTAGCAACTACATGCAAGAAAACTAGAATTTTTCACTGGAAAAAAATAGTAATGTTTATTACAAAAACAGAGTCTTTATTCAAGCTGAGTTTTTAGGTGTTATAGTCCAAAAAAAAAAATCATTAAATTTCCAGAAAAAACTTTCGGAGAACCCATGACCTTTTATTTCGCCTTATGAGATTTTTTTTTATAGGTGACTACCTATTCTGAGAAGGATGTTTTAAGACCAAGAGGATTAAATCATCGTAAAATAAGTTAAATAGGTAATATAAAAAGAAATGTTTTAATACACAATAGTACTCGATTCTCGGTACTATGGAAAAGAACATAATTTTATCTGCGAATATTCGATAATTATTACTTAAATAATGAGAAAATGAACCCATTCATTTATGAATAGAATGTAAACAATCTCTTTTCATCAAGATACTGCGTAAAAGTATTAAAAAAACACAAGCAAAATGTTAAGTCAAAATCTCTAAAGTAATTTTATTTCTTATACCCAGACATTTTCAAATTTATTCTCTTCCAGCAAATGAATGTATCTCTAAATATACAAGATAAATTTTCTCAACAGATTAATACAAACTGATGTAATTTTATGGAATACACTATCTTAGTTAAAACCTATACAAAAAAAAATAATTATATATTTATTTCCAATGGTTGAATAATCATATTACAAATTACTACAAAAAAAACAACATTTATTTCGTCAAAGATCAAAAGATAAGGGAAACATTTTCATTGAAGCATTGGATATTTTCAAAATAAAAATTCTTCTATGTATTTTAACAAAAAATTTCAATAGTTCTTTAAAAATTCAGTTAGATTCGTAGAAATTTGAATACAATATCAGTATAAAAACAATAATATGAATATGACAGGTAACTAGATTTGATTTTGATAGAGTTTTGCTAGGAATAAAATATAATTAAAATGAATAGAAGAGGATATGATTCGAGAGTAACCATCATCTATTTAGCTTGTCAATAAACTTGATATAAGTTTATTTTCAGAGATAATAAAAGCTTTTATTTGAAAGAATGTTGTGTTTATTTCGACACAGTCATACGTGTAATTATATTTATTTTTTTTTATCATTTTGACAATGTATTAAGAAAAACTTGATAGGCTTTTCTCTTCGTTGAAAAAAAAATACTAAAATCTTCATATTTTACAAAAACATAGAATACATCTCTTTTTGTTTTTAATTATTCAATGCATCTTTATTCATTAATTGATATTGAGAATGTCATACACACTGTATAGTGTATGATTCATCGTACGAAAAGTGATCATAAATATCATAGAAGAGAAACCAGAAATAATAAAAAACCAACACAAAATCCATGTTATTTTCATACGAAAGTCTTCAAAATTTATTGTAAATATATTTTTTAATTTTACTACAACACTAGTTATTGTATTTTATATGTCATATACATGAATTCGAAGAATTTCACGATAAGGTTTTGGAATCAATGTGACATGACATAAACATTATTCTAGTTCATTAGCAGAAAAACTTTGTTGAGCTATTTCAGGAGAAACTTTATTTCTTGATATATTTGTTGATGTTTTATTACATAGAGATTTAATTAAGCGCCAAGGTTTTTTTATCAGAACATTTTTCGCTTGACGACGAAAACGTGATAATACCATTAAAAAGACATAAAAATTAATCTAAAATAAAATTCAACATGTAGATTAATAAACAGTCTGTTAAGACTAAGCAAAGTTTTATGTTTTAATTTACCACAAAATTAGTATGCATCAACGAAGCAGTTATTGATAATAAGAGACTAACGATTGCTAATTCCATATAATTATTTACATTGTTGTTTACATTAAGTTGATATAGAGAAATACAAATAAATGGTAAACCACATATAATAAGAACAATAACACGTGCCAAAGTCATTGCTGTCATTTGACGGTCAAGACGTCGACGAAATAGAAGCTCTTCGATAATCATGTGATCAAATAGGAGAAGACGGAAACTCAATTAAGTACTAGCATAGAAGATATCAAGTGTATGTTTTGTCGCGTGTATTCGTGCAATATCTCCTATATGTCCTGTGTTGATATTTAATTGAGTTTCTGCGGATACTCATAGAAGATATGATATCCTAATTTCATCCGTTCTGTCTACTATATCATTGCTGAGGTATACATTTTTTTGCAACTGTTAATGAATAAAATAATTAGTGGTATTAGGTTACAAAGTCTCAAGTGGACACTCTCATTAGTTCTGATCATATATATCTGTTCATTTCACATATTTGTTAACAAACCTAATAGCAAGCGACAAAAAAAACCATCAAAAAGAATATGAAGAAAAGACCGTTGAAGTGGTTGATTCTTTTACTGTCTTTGAATAATTACACGAATATATTAGTCCAATGTGTTGTTGTATTATACAACTCAAAGGAATATAAATAATAGTTGAATTTGATAAAAACAGACATAAATTTTTCAGCACGACGAAAATGGAAATGAACAGTTTGTGTGGTCTTCGGAAAAGTAAAAAAAATAAGATGCTTAAAATTTAAGTAAATATGAACAATAGATTACTCGCATGATTCAACAGTCTTAGTTTCATCTTCAATTTATTTGCAAGCTGTAGTGAAATTCACTTTCAATATGTATCTCGATAAGAGCGTGTGTTCAAAAAAAAGTAACTGAGAACAGTTTTGCACAAGACGTAAAAAATAAAATTAGATTTTTGTTTTTCTTTATGAAATTGTAGTAATTCTAAATAGAAAATGACTTTTTTTCAAATCAAAAGACTTCATCCAATAGTCTTTCGATTTTAATGTAATCGAATAAATCAAATTTCATATTCCATCTTCAATACGGTTTGAAATTGATAACTTCATACAAAGCATTGCATCACAAATTATATCACATCATAGTTTTTAATTCTTTATAATACATTTTTATTTAGTTTATTTTTTAATCGATCTAATGTCTTATTGACTTTCAACAGTATCTACTAGATAGTTTACATCAGAGGTGGTAATAAGCCACTTTTTATTTCTGATCTAGTTCGGAATGCTCGCAGATCAAACCTGGTTGATTGATTTTTCGGGTTTCTTGAATAGATTTCATTCTATAACTGTACATTAATGTATCATTCTAGTTTTAGCTGTTCATTTATTTTATATCTATAAAGAAAAGACAATAACAAGTTCTTGTATGAAGTAGTAAATTACAACAACGAGAAAAATCATTATAAGGATTTTTTAGACAAGAAAAGCTTAAATTAATGCAATGTTTTCGATCATGCCAGTACGGTTTCGCATAATCAAAAAATAAATAATTATGATAGCAAAAAACAACATATGATCAGGCATACAACGAAGAGGTAAAAGAAAATGTAAGGAATAAGTGATAAGTACAATAACACGCAAGAATATTTATATTGGACAATTAATTTTTGCAAAAGCATGAATGCAAAATTTACTAGCCATTTGTTTTGGATCTAAAAAAGTCCTATAGCACTAAATTGACCTTATGTTCAAGCATTTGTTCTTGGAATCGAAATAATTTGTCGAAGTACTCTCAAATAATAAAACAATGCATCAACATTTGATTTTCAAAGCGTAAGAGCCAAGTAAACAACTTTGCCATGGTGTGCCTTGTTAGTCAGGTTGAATATCGAATGGACGGATCAGATCAGACTAAAATTTCAAAATTTGACCTGACCTAGCAGACGTCTACCATGCAGCAAAACAGGTCGGCAACTCTGTTTACACGCTCTTTTAATTTTTTCTTAATATCTCAAATAATGAATTTGACAATGAGTATAATGAAGATATGTGACAATGAGAAACAGTAAAACTGTCAATCAATACTATTACAATGAATTAAAATGAAATGTGTCAATTAAAAGTCTTGTTTCGTCAATGATATTATTAAAACATAAACCAAATTTTTCCTCAAGTCCGTATTCTACACATAACTAATATTCTTATTTTATCTCATATAGATTGGATAATATTCTGATTCTTGTTCAAAGTCAGAAGTCTCAATGAAGTATGACAAACACATATTTATATAACATATTTCAATAAGATAAAATAACTCATACATAAAACGACAATGGACTGACATTTAGGAAATATTGTTGATATTGGATGATTTGACTTTATTGTTTTTTCTATAAAAACACAACTATACGCATTCTAAGACGAATGCACTTGCTTGAGTAGGTTCTGGAGCAACTTGATTATTCTTTGAAATTATTAATCTGGGATTAGACAATATTGTCAATGAACGCCGAAGTTTTTTAATAAAGAAATATTTCACTTGATGACGATAACGTGGTGATATCATTAAAAATAAATAAAAATTGATCTAAAAAAATCGAAATCACACAACCAATTTTAAGACTCAATACAATAATTTAACTTACAGCATAGTTAGTATATAAAATAGAATATATAACTACTGATGATAGATTAAGGATGGCCTCTTCCAAATGATCGTCGGCGTGATAAGTTATATTAAGTCGAAATAGACTCCAAATAATAAATGGTATACCCAAACTAACAATACACATCACTCTTGTCAGAGCAATTGCTGTCATTTGACGATCAAGTCGACGACGCATCAATGGTATTTGACGTCGAATAATTCGACGAACATTTTGATATGCCAATAAACTGAATAAACCACTAATAGTAATTGGAAGCACACAAGATAGAATCGGATAATAGAAAAATGTAAAGTAAGCATTTACTGTTGGATGGTAAACAGTACATCCTAATGGTCCAGTTTGGGTAAAAATAAGAAAGAGTATTCCATGAAGCAATACAATAGTTATATTGAAAAATGACAGACGATAAGCTAATTTAAGTGTACTTATATATCGCCAATGTTGTCTATGATTTGTTGATAGATATTGATCAAAAGCAAGAAAACATATTGTACACAAAGAATATAAGCCAAAACTATATGAGCTCATTGATTGTATTTTACACCAAGCAACTGATATATGTACTGGATTTCGACCTATAATATAACTAGCAATATTAGATGGTAACATTGCAAGAAGTACACCAATATTAGCCATAGACTCAATTTTTAAATAATAAGCACATTGATTTCCTCGAAATATACGTAGAATGTTGAACATTAGAATAATTAAAATATTACCAATAAGTCCAATGAATAAAATAACGACACTGGAATAGAATTGATATTTATTGGTTATAACACGAAGCAGTTCGATTATGTTTAATGATGACATGTTTTATTCTTAATAGAAAAGAATATTTTTTTTTAAAATGACGATAATTCAATGATGTTTTTTTTTTCTTCGATAATGGACATTAATGTGTAGATCAAACAAAAGTTTTTCTTTTCATACCAATACTTTCAAGCGTAATAATTAAAATTGTTGCATAAAATGATTTGATTTGATCAACTAACCGTTATAGGTTTATTTTTATTTTAATGTTATTACATTTTAAAACATCAATTCATATATTCAACGAAGCATATTTTTTCTTGTGTGTGTGTGTGGCATTAAAATACTAGAAAAAAAAGACATGTTTCGTATATCTTGCCCTTACAAAAAAAATCTATCAAATGCAATACGGTATTTAAGATGAAGAATATTTATTTGGATATTTATCATTATAATTCAATGGTATCTGTTGATAGTATTGTTTATAGAATCGTAGAGAGTCAAATACAGTGTATCTGATTTATTTTCTGTACTTTACGACAAAATGAATTAGAATAGTTTTTCAAGAATTGCTTAACCATATCATAAACAATCTTGTATTAATTATAAAGTTGTCTCAATTATTTTTTTTAATCTATTGCTTAATTACGGACTCATTGCAAAGGGTTTACATGAATTTTCTATCTAGACTCTATTGATCAATCACAAAAAGAAAAACATGCAAAATAATGAATTAGTGTTATTTAGTTCATACGACGACGTTATGAATTAAATGTGAATTCTTAGAAATATATTTTCTCCTATGCATGCTGTCTGACTTTTTAATCCTTTTATTGATCAAGTTTGCTATTGTCATAATAAAATGGGATATACATCTTATTGAATCTATATTTAATAGTTTTGATAAAGTTTCAGTGAAACTTGTACATAATTCGATACTAAGTGTATAGATAGAGAAAGAATATTAAAATCCAGCGTTATCACTCCATGAACTTTTTCTAAATCAATCTGATTCTTAATTCTATATTATACTTTCATGTAACATAATCATTTTATCGCTTTCAATACTTCTTCATCACAAAATATTTTACTTTGTCGATGAAAACATCATCATATTGTGAAAAATAGATAGAAATTGATCTAAAAAGTAAGGTATAATAATAGAAAAGTGTCAGAATGAAGAGAACTTTCCGATTTATCCCAAAATTCATGTAGAACAACGAGTATATGAGACTACACTCGTCAAACTATCAATCGCTATAAACAGTTGTTTGTTTTCTATTTTACGAAGATTTTGTTAATACAAAGAATAAGTTATACAGAGTGAACTCAAGTAAATAACATATCATAAGTATTTGTCATCGCATAAGCCGATGAGCATTATGCTAAGCTAACAAAAAATATTAAGTAAAAACAAAATGTTGCTCTATGTATAACACATATGTCTAAGGAAGGAATTTCCATTTAAATGAAAAGTAAAATGTCATGCAGGACAACGAAAACAAAAAAAAATTGAAAAACGTAAAACGACGAGTTAATTTTACTGCATTGATTTGTCGTTAACTGTATCCGAGAAATTCACGAATATTGTTCCTAATACGTTTTCTCTTGGCTGATACGTTATTAAAACTCCTAACAATTAACAAACAATTTAAAAAAAGTTGTAAATCGACGTAAACATCGTTCTCACTCAAACATTATCCTAAGATCTCACCTTCACTTTCAGCTAATGCCATTATAGTTCGCTTCAGATGAGTTAATACGTTAAAATAAAAGGTCGT